CAGTTATGAGATTCCCACTTCCTGGGGGTCTAACAGACAGCATACTGACTGTAGTTAACAACACCGTGTTATGTACCCAGAAGTTGAAAACAAATGTATCTCAAATATCCTCACCACAAAAAAGTAGCAATTATGTGACCTTTTCCCTCATACCTCTTTTTTATTTTTTATTTTTTATTGTTATTCTACTACAGTTGCCCAATTTTTCCCTTTGCCCTCTTCCTCCCAACTCACCACCTGCTCCTATTAAAGCAAAGAAGATATATTACAATATTTAAATGTATTCAAACAACACATTGTCACCTAACACTTTTGTCAATTATATATCAATAAAGCTGGAAAAATTATCCTCAGGCTTTATGTAAACACAACTTACTTAAAAAGCAGGACCAGTAATGGAGTTGACGATAGCAAATGTTGGAAAGTTTGTGACTCTATCTACCTACATATCCATTTATCTACTCTCTGTGTATCTATGTATCTGTCTATCTATATACATATTTTGTGTGTGTGTGTAATCTTCTCATCTGCCAATTAATTAGTCTTATACCTGGACTCTAATAAAATTAATGTCTGTTGCCTTGAACCACATAGTTAGTTGTATTTTATTGTAGCAAACTTACAAACTAATTCACTCCCTCTATCTGTCTCTCTCTCCCCTCTTCCTCTCAAGAAGAAACTGAGTTTTGACTCATAAGCAAAAACAAAAAAGATTTTTATAGAACAAGCAAAAAACAAGAGTTTATACGTTTTCATCTCTCCTAGAAATGCAGAATAAAGCTGTTTATTTTGCTTTATGTTTGAAAAGAGAGTAAAAATATGCGAGTGGTAAAACCCCTAATAGATATAAGGTGAAAGAGATCTCATGGTTCTTCTGAAAATAGTTTCATGTCATTAACCATTTCACACATTTGCTTGGCCCACTAATATGGATACTATAGACTAAATAGATGTTATGACTTTCAAATGGCAGCAGGCTATGTTAAAACCTATATGTGATTGTAGAGTTTAGGAAAACTAAAAGTGACACTTTAGACATGAGGGGTGTAGAGTGATGTGGCTCAGCTCAGTCCCTCAGCACCTGCCAGTTTTCGGGTGAAAAGAGCTGGTCCTCTTCCTGTGTGACAGACACCTTGTGCACTGTTTACTCTGTGGTGTGGAGACCCTGCCCACCACATCCTGTTACTGTCTATTGAGCTTCACTTTAACAACTGAAAAACAAAGCATCAAAAGCTCTGTTATAACAATGCCCATAGAGGCTTTACCCCACTTCCTCATGTAAGAATAGCACCAACCCGATGCTGCAAAGCAAATTCACAACAGTCACCACAGAACCCCCAGAACAGGACAGCTCATCTACTGTCCAGCGGACATGCTGACCCAGACTGAGTCCAGCTTTGAACAGGAATGTGTGCATGTATCTAGCAGGCTTTCCCCAAAACCACGGGCCACCCCCATCAACACTGATTCTGTCCTATTTTGTATGCGAATCCCGAGAGGTGGTGGAGAATTCAGCACTGGGTCCTGGACAGCTCCGCCCATCTGGAGCACTCCTAGACGTGTCTACTTTCTAACGCTATTTTATGTATGTGCTTTTCAATATTTTGTTGTTGTTGTATTACAGTTGTCCCAATCTTTCCCTTAGACCACCTACTCCCATCCCAGCCTCTGTTCCTATGGGAATATATCTAAGAACCCTGAATCACCAATTCAAAAGAAGTTAGGTACCCAGATGCTCATAGCAGTGCTATTTACAATAGCCAAGTGCTGGAATCAGCCCGCATCCCCACCAGCAAATGAGTGAAGCAGAAAACTGTGGAACATTTACACAAAGGAATACCATGCTGCAGAAAGAAAGAACTCCTACCTTTTGCAACAGCATGGATGGAAGTGGAAAATATTATGCTAAGTGAAATAGGCCAGTTGGTGAGACAAATAACATCTCATTTCTAAGAGTAATCTAATAAAAAAATAAACTAACAAACAACTAGCCAAGGAATCATGGAACAGACTGACAGTGATCAGAATGGAGGAGGAAGAGGGATGATAGTGAGGAAAAAAGGGGAAGAGAGTAGAAAAACAACATGTATGAATGACTCACAGACATGAACGACAATGTAGGAATTGACTATGGGAGCAAGGGGAGTGGGATGGGCAGAGGAGAGCAAAGGGGGAAAATTGAGACAACTGCACTAGAATAACAATAAAAATATTTTTTTTTAAAAAAAGCTTCTCACAAGGAAAAAAGGTATTTTCTACATTTTTGCTAGAGAAAAATTAACTGATTTATTCCTCAGTCTGTCATGCATCTAACATCGATTCTGTGTATGGAGTGAGGCAGGTGTGAACTTCACATTGCTCCATACACTCTCCCAGAAGGTCCAGTACCGGTGACAGAAGGACCAGGAGCTGCCCACTGCACCGGGAGGGTCTCTGTCATGGTCACGTGACCCTGCACTGTGGTCAGTCTGATCCTTCCCTCTGCTCCATTCGATGAGGTATCTCTAATTTTTCAGTTTCTCAGGCCTCCAATGTCTCCACCTAAATCTGAATGGCTTGCTTCCTTTCCCCCATATCTCAGGTAGAATGAATCCTGGTCACAGTTGCGGGGGTGGGGTTCATGGGCTGCAAATGAGGGAAGTGAGAGCAACAGAGGAATTAGGCCGCTCAAGCGTCCTTCCACCATTGAGGATGTGGAATTGTAACAACTGATATTTAAAGTATGTAGGGTGTTTTTGGCCTCTAACAAAACTCTCCCACTTGTCAGTTGTTTCTGAATCCTCAAAGGACTCCACAGTTTGATGAGGAGAGTGACCCCCAGCATTAAAAATGCTCTGAAGAGGGAAAAATGACTCAAACAATTCACCTTAAAGAGAGAAAGCCCACTCCTCACAGTAATAGAACCAGGTGGAAACTGTTCCAGGGCCAGAAGGGAGCACTGAGCTCTCCTATGGGAGAAAAGTGTTTGCACAGACCCCAGGATCATCCCTCCTGCTCCCTTGGGTCACTGTCCTGAGGGTTCCTTGGGGTCTCCTGTCAATGAGGCAGAGGAAGGTCATCCTTCATCTCTCCTAGGCAGCGGTCATATCCACCTCCTACCTGGTTTCTGAGCTCTTAGTCCTCACTCTCTCCTGCAGATCACCCTCCACCTCAGTCTCTATGCCTCCTTTTCAGAATCTGTCCATTTCTGCTCAAACCCATCCACAGTCCTCACTGTCTTCAGGGTAAATTTAGACTCTTTCTTCTGAATTGATGGCTGCTCATGATCATCCACAAGTGATTCTCCAACCTCAGCTCTCACTGTTGTTTCCCTCACCCAGACAGGTGCAGTTACCTGTGAACACACAGTACACACACAATCACATCCACTACACACACTTACACATACTCACAAACTCACATGTGTATAGATCACAGAAACCAACTCACACATATACACTCACACGCATGCATACTTACACACATAGACACACTCACATCATCTCTACTTGACCATATCTGTTCTCCTTCATATCTGCTTTCTTAGAGTTTATAGAATAAATGAATTCCTTCCCAAGCCCCCAGCTAAAAACACAGGACAAGACATAACACTGAGATTTAATCTCCTCCTTTCTCTTCTCTACATGTGCTATGACAGCTAATATTATTCATGAATTGCATAGTAAATCCAAGTAAGCCTTTCTTCAAATATTGTTGGACACACAGCTTTGAAGTTCAATTACTGTTGACATATGTTATTTATATACGTATTGCACTGCTCTAGTTCCATTGTAACTTGGCGCATATGAGATTTAATTCAGTCTGATTGGAACAGTTCATTCCTATATATTCCTTGACCTCGCATACTTAATCCAACATCCTTGCATGGCTGCGAGCCCACACATGACCAGCCACCACCTCACCCTCCCTCACTGCTATCACACAGCCTCTGCCCCTAGAGTTCTCTATAATATTCTTTCCTTTCAAGAATATTCTCACTCCCACCTCCTAGGGTTCCACCTCATTAAACAGCCCTTCCTTCAGCCCTGACTGAGCAGCTTACTTGTTTGGAGTGTCATCCCATACACCAAAGATTGTGAGTTCGATCACAAGTCTGGCACATATGAGAGGCAACCTATCAATGTGTGTCTCTCTCATCACTGTTTGTCTGTCTCTCCCATCTTCTCTCTATAAAATCAATAAATATATGCTTCAACGAGCATAAAAAATAGCAGTTTCCTCAACTGCAGCCTAGTCATGGCCTCAGGTATTCTCATATATTTTTCTCATTTCTCCTTTGTAACTAAAGTAATTTCCACTTTAATCTTAGAATGCTCATTGTCTGCTAAGAAGTGTTCTCAAGAGACAGAAAATCAGTCTTCTGAATCACAGGTGCATTTCTGGCACAAATACTTGCAAGGTTGTAAGTGATGAGTAGATGTTTGTTTATGGATGAGTCAAACACCAAAAGAAAATTCCATTTGTGTGAGGTTGAGAAAACGAGTGGTCAGTTGTTGGCAAAGTCAGCCTGTTGAGTGACCAGTCAAGATGAGAACCTACCCTCTCTGAGCAGGAGGACAGACCAGATGGAGGGTCCTGGGAGTGAATAGAGGCCCCAGATCTGCGCTGAGCATCTCCAGAGGGCGAGAAGTCCTCCTGAGCCCACGTCATGGAAAAACCCAGAGCCTGGCCTGGGGCGGGACTGTCCCCTGGCTGTGGGTCCACAGAGATGGGAACCTAGAAGGGCAGTGGCCGCCCCTGACTCACCACATCCTGTGCGTCTCTGTCCTTCAGGCCCAGGGTCTCATCCACAGAGCGGGAGCACTCAGAGAAGATCGCATGATGACCATCTTCTATATTCTTTTCTGCCTCGGTCAGTGGTGGATGTGGGGAAGGAGCAGCAGGAAGGGATGGGGCAGCTGCACACACTTGTTCATCAGGAACCTCAGGGTTCAGATAGCTGGTGTGGTTGGGGCCTTAATATATTGGAATCAGCTCAAATATCTAGGAGCTTATCTGACATGGATTCTCTTCCAGGGCTGAGTTTGGGCCAGAAAACACACATGCAGAATGGTGAGTCCTCCCCAAGCCACCTGTCCCACCTCCCACTTCACTGCTGGGGCTCAGGAGGGAGCAAGAGGTCCTGCATTGAGGGGATAAAAGATGGTGGGCATGAGCTGAGCTGGGGGATGAGGGTGGGGAGTCTTTCTAACAAAGCTTCTGATTTCTTCCAGGGACCCTCCCCAAACCCACCATCCAGGCTGAGCCAGGCTCTGTGATCCCCTGGGGGAGCCATGTGACCATCTGGTGTAAGGGGACCCGGCAGGCCCAGGAGTATTATCTGTATAGAGGAAAAAAACATACGTTCTTAGACAGAGAGAAACCCCTGAAGTCAGGAGACAGAGACAAATTCTTCATCAAGATTACTGATGGAGGGAGATATTACTGTAAATACCGCAGCCTCACTGGCTGGTCAGAGCTCAGTGACCCCCTGGAGCTGGTGGTGACAGGTGAGAGGACACTCAGGGGTCCCAGCCCCAGGCTCTGCCCTCAGGAAGGGGGTGATCTCAGGGTGTCCCCCTCACAGCCCAGCCCTGGGGGACAGGAGGGAGGTGTGAGTTCCATTTACCGTGCTGCCTCCTTCTCTCCTAGAATTCTACAACAGCAAACCCAGCCTCTCGGCCCTGCCCAGCCCTGTCGTGACCTCAGGAGGGAATGTGACCCTCCAGTGTGGCTCATGGGCAGGATTTAACAGGTTCATTCTGACTAAGGAAGGAAAACACAGGCTCTCCTGGACACTGGACTCACAGCAACACCCCAGTGGGCAGTCCCAGGCCCTGTTCCCTGTGGGCCCCGTGACCCCCACTCACAGGTGGAGGCTCAGATGCTATGGTTGTTACAGAAACAGCCCCCAGGAGTGGTCTAACCCCAGTGATGCCCTGGAGCTCCTGGTCTCAGGTAAATCCCATTCCAGTTCCATCCATGGATTGAGACACCAGACAAGTTTTGGGATCTTTGCTGGGAGGGGAGCCCCATGTGAGAGGTGGGGAGAGGGGAGGGTAGTGGCTTCTGGGCCAGAGGCACAGAGAGAGACAGTGGGACCTGGGGCCAGGCCAGGGGGACGGTCCATGGGAGGGGCAGCCCCTGTCACTCACCTCTGGTCCCTGCAGGAGGCTCAGGGAAGCCCTCCCTCCTGACCCAGCAGGGCCCCATCGTGGCCGCTGGACAGAACCTGACCCTCCAGTGCCGCTCGGACCTCGGCTATGACAGGTTCGCTCTGTCCAAGGAGGGGGCACAGGACCCCCCCCAGAGCACTGCCCTGCAGCCCCAGGCGGGGCTCTCTCAGGCCGACTTCCCCCTGGACACGGTGCGCGGCTCCCACGGGGGCCGGTACAGGTGCTATGGGGGACACAACCTCTCCTCTGAGTGGTCGGCCCCCAGTGACCCCCTGGACATCCTGGTGGCAGGTGAGGAGCCAGTGGTTTCAGTCAGGGGCCCAGAGTCTGGTCAGGCCCTGCTGGGGGTCTCAGGTGGTGTTGGCCAGGACAAGGGGCCTGGCCTCCCCAGGGAGGGAGAGAGACAGAGAGAGAGGGGATAGGAGGGGAGGGGGAGATGCAGAGAAAAGAGAGACAGAGAGGAGGGTCCTCAGAAAGGGGCCTGGTGACTCTCAGGTCAGAACAGGGTGGGCGGCAGCCCCTCACCCACCCCCTCTCTCTAGGATGGCTCCCTGACAGACCCTCCCTCTCGGTGCAGCCGGGCCCCCCAGTGGCCTCAGGAGAGAAGGTGACCCTGCTGTGTCAGTCACAGAGCCCAAGGGACACCTTCCTTCTCACCAAGGAGGGGGCAGCTGATCCCCCCCTGCGTCTCAGACCACAGCCCCGAGCTCAGCAGCACCAGGCAGAGTTCTCCATGAGGCCCATGACCTCAGCCCATGGGGGCACCTATAGGTGCTACAGCGCAAACCACAGCAGCCCCTACCTGCTGTCGCAGCCCAGTGACGCCCTGGAGCTCATAGTCTCAGGTAAGGGACCCCTGACCATGACTTTCTTGGCTGTTAGCTTAGGTCCTTGTCCCCAGAGGAATTACAGGGTGAAAAGCAAGGGAGAGGGCTCTAGGGATGATCACGAAGTCATGTGTCCCTCAGAGACTCTGTTGCCCTTGCCTGCCATTTCTGCTCACCTGGGTTAGGAAGGCGGTAGGTGGGCAGAGGGAGTGTCTTTGGGGCCACAGAGCCGATGTAACAGAAGAGTCTGGGTGATTTGCAGAATGGTGGGTTAGTCCCAGACCTTGGCCCCACTTCTGTCCTCATTCCCAAAACCTTCAGTAGGCTCCAGCACCACCCCTCAACAGGGCTCATCCCCACATTTTGGGAGTCCCTGAGAACTCTGCTCAGATGAAGCACAGAGAAGCCCAGGGAAGTTCTGAGGGTCCATCTGGGGGTCTCGTGTCCCCCAGACACTCAGGGATGGACCTGTGTCCCAGGGGCTGGGAGTCAGGCAGAGATGCTGGAACCACAGGGTCCCCAGGGCTCTGAGGCTGGCAGGTGATGGTGGGGTGGTCATAGGGTAGAGATATGTTGGGGCCCAGGCTGGAGGAGGAGCCACGTTCCAATGGGCAGAAAGCCTCCCTGAAATCTCACTCCCATCCTGAATTCCCAGAACACTCGGAGGATCAGGAAAACCCCATCACAGATTCAGGTGAGAAGAGCAATACTTGAGATTCTCTGTGGGGAGGAGGTGAGGGCTGGTTCAGGTCCCAGCTCTGCTGCTCCTGCTGTGGGACTGGGAGGTCCTTCTCTTCTCTGAGCCTCAAGTTCATGTCTGTTCATCCCTGGTCTCTGCCTGCTCACAGGCCTGCAGTGACATAAGGGGCCTCACAGAGCTCAGGAAGGCAGAGCCCCCAGCCAGACCTTCCCAAGGGGACATCAGTGTTCACCCCACATTCCGTGTCCCTGCTGAGCTGGGGGGCAGGTCATAAAGCAGGACCCTCGGCTCCAGCTGAGACAGGACAGGCCCCTGCAGAGGAGGAGCCCAGAGTTCGGAGCTGGTGTCCCCAGGGGGCAGCATGGGGACAGGACGGGGAACCCATGTCCAGGGTCCGGTCCCTGCCCTGCCCCGGCCAGGCTGGGGGCCCTGGGGCACGTGGCTCACCTCTCTGAGCCCCCGGAGACTGGGCGGTGGGTCAGCGATCCCTGGTGCACGAGGGCTGTGAGGGTAGAGGAGATGAACCACAGACCCCCAGCACATGCCTTGCACACAGTAGGTGTTTATTAAATGGCATCTTGGCTCATTCATGACATCACTGGAACCCAAGGTCTCCAATGGCCCCTGAACATCCTGATCAGGGTCTCGGTGGCCCTCGCCCTGCTGCTCACCCTCCTCCTCTTCCTCTTCCTCCGACACCAGCGTTGGAGCAAAAACAGGACATCAGGTGAGTAGGGGACGGGGTGACCTGGGCCACAGGAGAGAGGGGCTCAGAGCACCTGCCACAGAAAAAACAAGTAGAGGGGGAAGGTCAGCTGAGAAACAGATTTCTCCAGAATCTCAGATTAGAAATTCTTGAAAGAAAGCACTCAATGTAGCAAAAATGCACAAATAAATGTAAGTTAATATTGCATGGTTTTCCATCTCCTGAAATAGGAAATTCACATGAAAGTGTGTTAAGGTTTCTTTCTTTCCCCTGGAATCACACAGGGTGGGGACCCTACCCTCCCAGGGCAGAGACTGTCCCTCTGGACAAGCCCTCTGGACAGGCTGATGTCTGACCTCCTGCAGATCTGCTGATGCCCAGGAAGGGCCCCTCTTGAGAGGAAGGGACAGAGGCCTTGGGGGTGGGGCACAGGGGTTTCAGAAGGCGATGGGGGAGAGGACACCCTGGGAGAGTGTGGGGTCAGGGGGGAGGGGGACGGAAATCCCCACTGTCTGACCTGGCCCTTCACCTCACCCTGGGTTAGTGGCCCATCTGGGAGCAGGTGGGTCTGCAGTCTTGAGATCGCGGGGACACTGCCAGAAGACACACCCCATTCTGTCCTAGCAGATGCTGCCGTGAAGGACCCACATCCTGGGGAGGGCGTGGAGCTGGACCCTCGGGTGAGACCCCTGCCCCTGTCCAGGCCTCCAAGGACCTTCCTGTTGCCCAGTTCACTCCAATGGTCCCTCCCCTGTGCTCCCCTTCCCTGGTTCTCAGCAGCATCCACACTGACCTCTCCTTCTGGGCACCAGGTCTTCCTGCTGTGACTCGCTCCTCCCATTTTACTCTGACCTCATGGCCCCTCCTGGGAGGTCCCCTGTGCTGGCCCCTCGTCCCCTGTCTGACCTTGGGCAGCCCCAGGTCTCAGGAGGAGGCACGAATGAGTGACTCACCCCAGGCCCCAGGGCCCCTTCACTCAGTCACGCAGCCGCCGTGACGGGAGCTCCCTGGGCACCGGCTCCATGTAGGGGCCGCGGCGCAGCCCAGAGCAGCCTGTCCCCACACTGGTCCAGCCCACCTGTGGGTGAGGGAGACACCTGCACACAGGTGATGGCGTCCTGGAGGGCCAGCTGCTGTGAAGGAGAATAAAGCAAGAGCAGGGGGTGGAGTGCGTGGTGAGGGGGGAGAGCAAACAGCAGGTGCAAAGGTCCTGAGGCAGGACATGCGCTTCAGCCAGATGGGCCGAGTGGGTGGAGCCAAATGAGCAGAGACAGTGGGTTAGGTTACGAGTCAGAACCATCGATGCCCCAGATGCCCCAAGGCTCAGGAAGCCCCTGCAATTCCGTCAGGACAGTGACCTCATCTGACCTGAAGTTTAAACCCTCACTCTGACACCATGTGGATGCTTGACCGGAGTATTCAACAGTGGGATCGAGGACATGCTGTCTCTGTCTCACTGTCTCTCTGCAGCAGAACAGGCCCCGTGACGACCCCCAGGGAGTGACATGTGCCCAGGTGAACTGTTCAAGATCAAGGCTCAGGCCAGGAATGGCCTCCTCTCCTTCTTCGTCATGGAGATTGTGGGACAAGAAGTGCAGACAAGCAGAAGGGGACAGACAGATGGACATTCAGGTGGGTCCCACCCTCTCCAGGCCGCAGGCTTCCCCAGCCCCAGCCACGTCTCATCTCTCTCACTGTCCCCTGCTCCAGGCCCAGGACGTGACCTGCGCCCAGCTGACCCACTTGACCCTCAGATGGGAGACAAGTGCACCCCCTTCCTCCCCATCAGAGGAGCTCCCAGCTGAGCCCAGCGTGTACGCTGCTCTGGCCGTCCACTAGCCCTGGAAGGGCCCAGACCCCACACTCCAGGGAGGGGGCCTGCAGGGTCCCCAGAAGGCACAGGAGCTGCCCCAAAGGACACTCAGCTAGTGACCCTGTCCAACCTGGTGAGCTGACACAAAATCCCAGTAGTTCCTGGGACCCTCTCAGTGTCCCCTGATTGTATAGTCAATGATAATCGCTATCCCCACCTTTTGGAAATAAAGCAAACACACTTCTCTATAATAGATGTGTGAACCAAAAGTGAAGTGAATGCTTTAGATTAACTGATCATGTAAATATTACACATCAAAACTGTGAAATGAGAAAAGTAAAAATCATGAATAAATATATTAGAAATTAAAAGTCATTTAAAAATCACTGCCCCTAGCTAGTATATCAAGACTTTAGAAAAAGGTGAAATGGAATTGTTAGATCCACAGACGATTAGATAGAAAGATGTTGCACGTATGCTCAATAGAATGAAGGTCTGCCATAAAACATGATGCAGTCCTTCCATTTGTGACAACCTGGATGGACCTAGGGGGTGTTATGCTGAGTGCCACAATTTGGACAGAGTAAGAATTCACTTCTATGTGGACTTTTTAACATCATAAAAACAAAAATAGACCTACAGGTGTCAATAAGCACAAATGGTTGCTGGGGGGAGGCACTGGAGTGGTGGGTGGAAAGGGGAAGATATTCAATCACGTGTGGTAACTTTGCATGAGACACATGGTTGCTGGACTTAGTGTGGGGCGCACATCGTGAGAGTCACGAGTGGAAAGGCCATGCAATACAGCTGCGACCAATACAATATTCCATGCCAATTATATTTTAATAACGGTATTCCATTAAAAATAAGTTGTATTCTCTAGGTCCATCCATGCGGTAACAAAAGGAAACATTTTTTTCTTTTTTACGGCTGAGTTGTATCCATGGTGGAATACACCACTCACAGAAAGACAAATACCATATGATTTTGCTTATATGTGGATTCTAATGAATAAAGTAAACTCACAAACAAAACAGAAACAGACTCGGGGATACAGAAAACAGACAGACAGCTGTCAGAGAGGAGGGAATTGGGGGCTGGGTGAAAAAAGTAAAGGAATTAAGCAAGGAAAAAACAACTCACAGGTACAGAAAACAGTATGGTGATTATGGTGGGGAAAGGGGCCAGGGGTATGTAGAGAAGAGAGACGGGGGGGATAAGTAGTGATGGAGACTTGACTTGGGGTGGTGAACACAGTACAACATATAAACGAGGTACTCTAGAAGTGTACTCCCCGAAACCTATGTAACTTTATTAGCCAATGTCACACCAATAAAGTCAATTGAAAAAGAAAAAAAATCCGGAGCAATGAAGGTAATAATATAAAGGTGATAGTTTTTAAATAATAGAATAACAATATAAAAATCTTTTTAAAAAATAATAGTTTTAATTCCTCACAAATAATTGTAAAAGAACAGCAAATTTTTCTAAATAAAAGTGTAAGAGGGAAAATGATAATGACAGGAGAAGTTACTATTGAGGATAAAAAAAAATATGCAGAGAGAAAGAAAAAGACTTAAAAATTCAGTTTTGAGCCCTGGCTTGTGTGGCTCAGTGGAATGAACCCCAGCTTGCGTGCCTAAGGGTCACTGGTTTGATTCTCAGTCAAGACACAGGCCTGGGTTGCAGGTCAGGACCCAGTAGGGGGCACGCGGGAGGCAACCACATGCTGATGTTTCTCTCCCTCTCTTTCTCCCTCCCTTCATCTCTGTCTAAAAATATATAAATTAGGATTTCAAAAGTAAATAAATGAATGAATGGGAAAAAATAAACTGACTTGGGTTTTGCAGAAAATAAAAATAAAAATAAAAATATATAAATTAAATCTTTTTTTAAAAATTCAGTTTTGAAAATGGTAATCACACTGTGGGAGTGGGGACTCGGATGCGTGGAGGAGGGCCAAAGGGGGGAAAATTGGGACAACTGTAATAGAATAATAATAAAAAATCTTAGCTTGAAAGACCAAGACAACACGGAAGAACACACATATTTCTAGTATTAAAGGTGAAACAGCAGAGAGCAGGACACTGTGCAGCCATTAAGAGATCAGAGCAGACCACTGTGAACAATTTGATGCCCATATATTAGGAATGAGAGAGACGCAAATTAAAACCACAATGAGATATCACCTCACAGCTACCTTTCAGGTTCTCTCTTTGCTTTTAAACGTTGAAATTTTACTTATAACGTGTCTTGTTGTAGGACTTTTGGGGTTCATCTTCACTGGGACTCTCTGTGCTTCCTGAACATTTGAGACTTTTTCCTCCACCAGCTTAGGAATATTTTCTGTCATTGTTTCATCAAACACTTTCTGTATCCATTGCTCACTCTCTTCTCCTGGTAGCCTAATGATGCAGATTATGTTACATTTCACATTGTTTCAAAGTTCTCTTACATTATTCTTCTTTTCTCTAAGTCTTTTTTTCCTTTTGCTGCCCAGATTGGGTGTTTTGTCCTACTTTGTTTTTTAATCACTGACACTGTCCTCTGCTTCCCCTAACCTAATTTTTCTCCCTTCCAGTGTATTCTTGATGTCAAATATGCTTTTCTTTACTTCTGACTGTTTTTTTTATGGTTTCTATGTCCTTTTTCATGCTCTTGTAGTTCTCCCTAAGTTCCTTGAGCACCTTTATAACCATTACTTTGAACTCTATATCTGATAAACACTTGCCTCCACTTCATTGAGCTCTTTTTCTGGGGATTACTCCTGTTTCACTTATATTTTATTTATGGCCCATTTCTTTGTCTTCCCTTTTAGCTGTCTCATTGTGTTTTGGGGTATTTTTTTTGTATTACATAAATCTTCTATGAGTCCCAGTCTTTGTGTGGTGGCTTTATATAGGTCAGAGATGTCCTGTGGGACTCATTATTTCAGTCTCCCTGATCTCCTTAGCTGGGTGCTCTAGGAACATTTATTTTGGGGGTTTTGTGAGCCCTCTGGCTGGGGCTGAGATTATTATATGCTGGCTGTGGTACAAGTGCTGATCAAAATGTAAACAATAAGTAAAAAAAGAAAAAGAAGAAAATAAAAAAATATATATGGTAATAAATAATATTATATATCAAAGACCTATATATTAAAAACATAAAAAATGTAGATTACAAAGGAAAAAGTGAGAAAAACAGAAAGGAAAACAAATAAGGGAAAACCCAAAAAGAATAACAAAAAAAGAGAGAGTATTTGTGTTTCTCTGAGCGGCTTATTTTGCTGAGCAGAGTAACCTCCCACCTATCCACACTGTCTCATTGGGCCAGAGCTCCTCCTTGTGTCCCCCATGCACATGGAACCTTGTGTTTCATGGCGTGAATGCACCACAGCTTTTTCATCCACCCATCTGCTTGGGTACTTGGGCTGTTTCCAGATCCTGGCTATTGTAAATAACACTGCAATGGACATAGGGATACATATATTCTTTCTGATTTGTGTTTTGGGATTGTTAGGCTATACTCCCAGAAATGGGTTCACTCAGTCAAAAACAAGCCCATTTTATTTTCTTTTATTTTCATATGGTAAGGAAACTGTACACTGTTTTTCACAGTGGCTGCACCAGTCAGCATTCCCACCAATGGGGTGTTGGGTTCCCTTTTTTCCACATCCTCACTAGAACTGTTTATTTGCTGATTTATTGAAGGTAGCCTTTCTGGAAGGTATGAGGTGATACCACAGTGTAGTTTTAATTTGCATCTTTCTGATGATTATTGATGTTGAGCACTTCATATGTGTGTATTGGCCAACTGTATGCCCTCTTTGGGAAATTGTCTAGTTATGTTGTTTGCCCATTTTAATTGGATTGTTTGTCTTCCTAATGTTGAGTTGTATCAATTGTTTACATCTTTTAGAAATTAATCTCTTATCTGATGTATCATCGGTGAATATTTTCTCCCATACAGTGAGTTCCTTTTTTTTGTTCATGGTTAACTTTGCTGTGCAAAAGCTTTTCAATTTGATGCAGTCCCAGTTATTCATTTGTTTCTTTTTTTGCCCCTTGCCCTAGGAGAGGTATTGGCAATAATGTTGCTCTGCAAAATATCTGCTGTTTTACTGCCTATGTTTTCTTCTAGGAATTTTATGGTTTTACAACTTACATGTAAGTCTTTTGTTCATTTTTAGTCTATTTTTGTGTATGGTGTGAGCTGATGGTCCAGTTTTCCCAACACCATCTTTAAAAGAATTTGTTGTTTTTCCATTGTACATTCTTCCCTTTGTCAAAAATCAATTGACCATATAGTTGTGGGTTCATTTCTGGGCTCTCCATTCTCTTCCATTGATATATGTGCCAGTACTTATGCCATTACCAGGCTGTTCTGATTACAATGGCTTTGTAATATAGTTTGATATCTGGTGTTGTGATACCTCCAACTTTCTTCTTCTTTCTGAAGAGGACTGAAGCTATTCATGGTCTTTTGGGGTTCCATATGAGTTTTTGGAATATTTGTTATAGGTCTATGAAATTTGCCATTGGTTATTTTAAGAAGGATTGTGTTGAATATGTAGATTGTTTTTGGTAGTATGGGCATTTTAATGATGTTAATTCTTCCAACCATGAAGATGGTATATGCTTCCACTTGTTTGTATCTTCCTAAATTTCTTTCTTCAATGTTGTACAGTTTTCCAATTACAGGCTTTTTACCTCCTTGGTTCAGTTTATTCACAGGTACTTTATTTTTTGTTGTTCTTGCTATAGTAAATGGGATTGTTTATTTAGTTTCTTTTTATAATTTTTGATGTATAAAAGTGCCACTGATTCCTGAATATTAATTTTGTATTCTGGTACCTTGCAGAATTCACTTATTAGACCTAGTAGGGGTTTTTTTTGGGGGGGGGGATTCTTTAATGTTTTCTGTGCGCGATATCATACTGACTGAATAATGAAAATCATTCAGTGAATAATGGATAGTGAATAATGAAAGCTTTTCTTCCTCCTTTGGATACCTTTTATTTTTTCCTCTTGACTGATTGCTGTAG